TCTCTCTGTGTGGTTGACTGGACATAGATGAACCACTCCCTTACATGATTTTTTCATATCGTACTCCCATCTCCAGAATCCCATGCTCTGCGAGTCTCCCCACATGGAGAACGAAACATCTAACTTCTGAACTGACTCAGCTCTGCAATCATTTTGATCCGGAGGACATGACTGGAGTTGGACAAAACGAATAGATTAAACTGTCGAGGGAGTTGTGTAGTCCGGTCTTGCTTCAGGCTGAGCCCCCCTCAATCTCCAACTGCTCTCTGGAACATGTGATACAGATGGCAGTACTGGTGCTGCTCCCTCCTTTTATACCAGCAAGTGCCAATTCTTGGTACAGTGACATCATAATTGTCCATTTGGAGGGTATTCTATTCGGCACATGTCTCACCGTGAGGCTGAGGCGATTCTCCTGTGGGAGAGGCTTTCCCTTTCTGCATCGGGACTTGCCGATCACTTTGGGGTGGCTGTTGAGACCGCTCTGGCTTTCGGGTCACAAATACCTCCGCTCGCTGCCACTGTGGTTGATGTGGCCAGAGTGACACACTGCCTGGTCCGGTGCATGTTTCTGGGCCCTTCACATGAGCCGAGACAGCAGCAGCAGCAGTAGCAGCAGAAGGCACAGAGATGCCCCCTGTGCCATCACGTGCATGGTAGATCCTAGTCGCATGGCCTGCTGTGCCGCCGTCTGTCAGGTGATGTTGCAAATGCATTTGCTGCTTTTCTCGGAAAGCTTTTATCATCTCGTTCTTGTTGATGCGCGGTCGAATGGTTCGCAGAGCCTATGAACAGCACAATTATAACAAGAGTGAACAACAGGCATGGGTTACTTGTCAGAAAATTGGGTACAGACTCCACATAGGGTTGCTGGAAGAAACAAAAGTTATTCTTTGTTGATCGTGTTCTTCCCCTCTTGTGGCACTCTTCCCACTTGTTTTCCTTCCATCTTCCCTCCACTACGTCTGCATTTTGTTTCTCCCTTTGCCTTGTTCCTCCTCTTCCTCAACCTCCTCCTCCTCTCCTGCCACCGCCATCACCACCTCCTCAGTAAGGTTGTTGTGGTTGCTGTTGTTGGCTAGCCGATTTAGAGGCTGGTCCTGTAACTTCTCTGGTTGTCGCCGCTACCTGCTGGGCATGCTCCAGCAATCAGGCATGAGGATACAAACTCAATATGATGAATGGAATCAACCCCAGTTGTCTTCTTCTCCTCCCTCCCTCAGTTTCCGTTTTCTTTTTCGTTTTCTTATATTTGGCAAACATGGCTCCTTTTTAGTTGGTGGGGAGAAGCACCTGCTGGACATCAGGTCCTACCTCCTTCCTGTTTCTTTTTCTTCTGGGTATGATTAAAAATTTTCCGCTTCTCACCCTTATTGCAATGACCTGCCAAACACGGACTGATACACACAGCTGATTTCTTAGTTTTGCTCATGGAATGTATGCCTTGCTGATAGGTCTAGGTGGGTACCGGTCCAACCAGTCTGAGTCTATGGCCTGTACGGGAAATATCAGAGTCTGCAATTATGTTTCCCTCTGAAAGGGAGGAGGTACCGGTTGCTTGGAGGCTGGGCGGCCAAGGAAGTCACTCGCCAGGAGGCAAGCAGGCCGAGCAAAGTGCTCCTCCTCATTGTCAGTGTGCAAGTTTGGCGACACACTGGCTGGAGCGCCGGCTGGAGCAGTGCTAGCACTCAGCGCAGCGCTGCTGGGGAAGGAGCAAGGACCGAGAGAGGAGGACAAGGACGAGGAAGAGGGAGAGCGCTTGAGGTACTTACCTGGCTATGGTGGATCCCATCTTCATCACCTTGGTGGCGCTGCATCTGGAAGACCCCAGTTGGGGTAGAGCTACACCAAGAAGCTTCAGGCATGGCGGCCTGAGCTAGAGCAGCCATCGCTGCTTTGTGTTGTCCTTTGCACAGCAGGGCAATGCCCTGGTAGTCCGCGAAAACCTCGGCCTTGGAGGAAGGAGGAAGAAGGGTGGCCATGGCTATGGTGGACCTCATGTGATACCTGCAGTAGAAGAGGGATTTGGACATTGATTCTGGTTCAGCCATTCAACATTATTATTATTATTTTCGTTTGAATAAGAGGGGAGGAGATAAGGAGGGGGAGAGTGGTTGGCGAAGAAGAAGAGAACTATCATTGGCCTATCCTGCTGTACACATCATCTTCTTCTTCTTTCTTTCTTCTTCTTCTTCTTTCTTTCTTCTTCTTCTTCTTTCTGTCTTCTTCTTCTTCTTCTTTCCCTCGCTGTCCTCTCTACTTGCTGGTGAGAGTTGACTTATCCACCCTAACCCTAACCTACGTGGTTAGGGCTGACCACTTAGGGTTAGGGTTGGTCCGAAGTGGGAAGTGGGGCAGCGTGGATTGCGGAAGCTGCCCCCAGCTGGTTAGGTTGTGTTGGGTCGACACTGAACCTGACCAGGTTGATTGAGAGTGAGCTTGCGGTGGTGGCAATTTGAGAGAGGCGACAGTGAGAGGCATTCGTACCTGGAATCTGACCTAAGGGAGACAATTGGTGACCTAAGGGCCTCCCTCAAGTAGGCGATCTTGAGGGAGGTAGCCATTCTGCATCTAAGGACTGCAAGTTGCTACTTTGTTCCTCAGCATCGGCGGGGGATCCGCCGTTGCACTTTGCTGTTGCAGTCAGACCCTCCTACATGATAGGACACTAGTGTAGAGGTATCAAATAGGGTGGGGGAGACCATATGACGAAGGGGGGTGAGTTATATTTCATCTCAGAGTCCGGGCCACTCAGGTAAGTGGTGTGCACCTAAGGGTTGCCCATGTGTGCGTGCATGGTATTGTTTGTCCTATTGGGGTACTTCTGGGTCTCTTTCCTACTCCTCTGAAGTCTTGGTTGTGTGCATTGCTGTGCAAACTGCTTACTGACCTGATGGATGGAGAGATTGAGTATCTTGCTTTGAATGCCATATTTTTCTACAATGCTTTGTCTTTTCATTCTGAATGGATGTAGTCTGTAGATTCTCTCTTAAAGTTGAAATTCGGTCTCAGTACAGTAGAGGCAGAAAGTAGGACCCTGTGGTACTCTTCTTGTTTGGGACTTGGTCGCGGTCTACGTGGAACCCATAGGGATTTAGTGGGACCAGGCCCAAACAAAAAGGGCCCCTTGGACTCAAATCTGACGCAGTGTCACTCTCTTTTTTGTCTGGAATTCGTTGCTTTCCTTTTTTATTAGAGCACCCTGCAATAACCTGCTAGAAATATGCTATTGTTGTTGGCTAGGGGCTGCCCACAGGCCGCAGTGAGGCTCTGTGCCAGATTGGGGAACAAGGCCCCCAAAATATGGATTCAGAGGCCTTGCGCCCGATAGTTGATCTCGGAATATTGAGGCCCACGAGTCAAAGTCTGCACGGACCCGGTCAAGGCCACAGATCAGACGCACACACTTGGTTGTATGCAGGTATCAAGATAGAATCTGGTCCAAGTGGAGGTCCGCAACTGTACACGATCCAGACCATCGACTGTGAGTCAATCTGGGCCCTCGTGCCTGAAGGACCAGAGGCTGGTCAATTGCGTCAACATTACTTATTGACCCAACCCCTGTTTTTCAACATTCAGTCTTGCACTTGCTGCTTGACGGTGGCACGACGCTGGTTGGACGCTGGCTTGATGTTGGCAAGACCCTGCCACTACGTTGGCATTGTGCGACGACGACACGAGACTGCTGCATTGCGTACTGGCACCTCTCTGCTTTTGGCGCCAGCTGTCTACTTGGTTGCTGACGTGGCACTTGCCACGTTATCTTCGACATTGCTGACATGGCGCATGCCACATTGTCTTCGACTCGGATTGGGGAACTGACGAGGAGGGAGATCAAGGCTGTGAGATTGGTTATGAGAGGGAGAGGGAAACTTGCCGATTGATGTTGTCGACATTGCGCGTTGCTGAGACGTCTTCATGGGAGATAAATGCCTACGTGTCACTATGTTGTGATCGAATCTTGTCAAACTCGTTCTAGGATACTGTTTGCTGACGTGGACGAGGAGAGACGCCTGAAGGAGGAGTGGGTTATGAGGGGGTTCTATCTCTGATGACATTGATGGTTACTTTCTCTTCCACCCTCCAAGTTTATTTCCCCTCCTTACAGCTTCGTCCTTTGGCTACGAGACATTGTCCTGTAGATCACATTTCATGATCATTGAAAACATTTATCAACGCCGAGATATCTTGTATTTTGATACTTAACGAGTTTCTCTCTTGACTGGGTTTATTACAACTCGCTGCTGAGGGGATCTCGGCTAAGATGTTTTGTGGACTGATGACGCACAATCCGATGCTTGACCTGCACCTTATACACCACTCAATTCTCCATTGTTGTATGTCGTAACTTGTAGTCTGATTTGTTGTACTTTGACGGTGCCGATCGGATTAGGATCGAGGGGATCTCATCCTTGGTCTGACCGGACTAAAACACGGAGTTAGAACTCTCTTTTGAACTATCTTTATTATTATTATTATTTTGGTTGCTCTCTAGTCCAAATATTTCTCCGCCCCGGCGAGTTCTACCTTCTCTTCTTGTTTTTTTTTTAGTCTGTTTCTTTTACCGAAATCCATTTTATGCCAGTCACGACGTGTGGACAAGAGAGAAGAGAGAGAGAGGCCATGGCAACTGAAGGATCAAGTAGTTCCAACATGGCACTGGCCAAGCTTTCTGAGATTCTAAAGGCTTAGGTGGATGCAGCGGATGATGAGGATAAACCGTTGTACCAAGCCCTCTACCAGAAGGAAATGGCCAAGGAGGAGGAGGAAGAGGCAAAGCGGAAAGCGGCCGTTGAACGTCTTGAGACCGACTTCAAAACGGTCTTAACCATGTCTGATGCAGACGTTAGGAAAAATCTGGTCAAGCAAGTACGTGCCCTCATAAATTGTCAATTGCTCAGCGAGCTTCCGAGTATAAAGTCCCAACTACTCAACGAAATGAGTCGGCAATGTACTCAGATGGCAAATACGGCCAAGGAGTATCACGATCAGATACAACAGATGGCAATCATGCATCAGGCCCAAATCTCAAGTTTTCTTCCCCTATCTTTGTTGCTAACTTTTCTACCTTTGCACCTCTCCATACTTCTTCTTCTTATCCTTCTTCGTTGAGTTTGGTGGCAAATCTTACAAGACCTGCAACAGGTGCAGATTCCACTGCCGCTACAAGTGACAGCGCAAGAAATTCCACAACTGTTGCAGCCCTGAGACCGGGCCCAGCAATGGTTGGTCCCAGCTATAGCAGTCCATGCATGGACAAAAAGGCGTTCAGATACGATGGCAAGGAAGTTGTTGAGTCTTGGATTAGCTCCATGAGAGCTTATTTTGAGGTACGAGGCACTCAAGGAGTGAACCAGTCCTTTATCCTAGGGACAAACGTCGTGACTGTCCTAAGGGGCTCCTTAAGTCCAAGCTATGCAAGTTGGGTATCCAAAGATCGATCTAATGAGATGGCTTAAAGTCACCCTGACAAGGACCCACATGCTGCAGCTAGAGTGAGGATCCAACTCGACGATCTTAAGCGCCACAAGTGGCAAGGCACGATGCACAAATTGCAGTTGCATGTCTACAAACTCTTTGCAACACCTGGATTGGAACTGACAGCACAATCGTGCTTGGATGTTGTCAAAGGTACGGTTCCCACCACTTTCACAAATCGCCTAGGCAAGGTTTTCCTTAATGAAGGATGTAGTCAGCCTTGAGGCAACAAATCTCGTTACCACAACAAGCAGCAAAAAGACCTTTGTCTGCAGACCGTTTCGTGGCAGCAACCATCTTGCTGCAC